TAGGGCAGTTGGCCTTCTTATGGCCCTTTTGATTGAAATAGAAGCAAATCAGGTTTGATGTCTGAACTGTGGGGGCGAGGGCAGTACAATCCCTGCCAAAGTGCCCCGTCTTGTTGCACTTATAGCAGCCTGACGATCCTACTCTACAAGCTCCCTCATACGGCCTGGCACATTTCCTGCAACGGCTCTGGCCCGGCTTGCCCTTCGACCTAACATCGCATCCCTTGGGTTTCATCCCTAAAACCCCTGTAACGTGCTCAGTCTCTACCTTCCTCTTCCTGAGGTGCTCTAAATCAATCTTGCTCTACCGTTCCCTGACAATCATGGACTCCAGGGTCGGGCAAGCTGAAAACTGACATGCTCCCAGATATCAGCCCTTAACATATCGTGGTAGCGGGTCTTCCGCATCTGCTTGTCCCCCGCATACTAAGGTACCAACAAGGCCCTCTCCCTGAATTTAGTGGTGATCTCTGCCACTGCTCCGTCATCTGTCTCATATCAAGAAACTCTTTGGCCAACTGCTAAAGCTCCACAGTTGGCACAAACTCCACCCTGAACCGGGTCACAAAATATGACCAAGCCATAGCCTCGATGGTTGGGGCTCCCATCGAGTCACCAACTGAATCCCACCAATCTCTAGCTCTATCCCTCAAACATCCCACAGCAAAGCGGATCTTCGACCCCTCCGAGCAGAAGCTCATCAACTACGCAGACTCAATGTCTGCGATCCACCTCCTGGCAGCAATGGGGTCCTTCACCCCGTGAAAGTCCGGCGCACCACTCCCCCTGAAGTCTTTGAAGGACATTGTGCACGTACCCATCTGGCCAGACACCAAATCACCCCTAAATGTCCGGAGGCGATCCTCCATCAGCTCAATGATCCCATCCTCAATCGACCCGAAAATGATCGGGGTCGCCTCAAGGACACCTCTCATGATCTCAGACGTGATGAACTAGCGTAGCCCGTCATCGACCTACTCAGACCATGCACCCGAGCCTGATCCTGATCCTGAACCTCCTGCACTATGTCGTGTGACCACCATACTGAAAATAAAACACATAAACATCAGGATCATACATACTTTTGAGAGGTCTCACACACTCCCCAAGTTTTCTGGGTCTATCTTAGCCCTCCTTGACTCGAGTATGGATCCTCTGTTTTTTAGTAGTACGTGTCCATACTTCCTTCCACATCTATCCGTACTTTACTCAAGGATTGCCTCAACTTCACCAAGTCCCTTAACCATTATCCCTTTCCAACTGATCTCATCCTAGGCTTTCCTAGGGCACCCTCCAACCTAGTCTCCGCCATTAGCTGCACTAGGGGTCCCTACCACCTTTCCCTAACTAGCTTGCGAATACTGTTACATATTCGCTTACTAGTTAGTTAAAGTTAGCCAAAACCCCTATAGCACAAAGAAAGCAACATTCGTGTATTGAGTAACCAATCAAGCATAACCTAATCAGGCTATCTCACTGCCAACTAATAGCTCTAACATACGGTTCAATGAGCTCCTATAGTAGGCATACGAGGCATCCTTCCTAGATCCTTAGCCCTATCTTAGCATGCAGTTCTCATAAACACATAACAGGCATACAAGGCATCCTCCTAGATCATTAGCCCTAATCTAGCATGCATGTCTCATAATCATATCATATAACATAAAAATTATGGCTATCCTCGGGAAAACTTACTTGAGCTAGGCCGGTCGTACGCATCACACACCTCGTTCTTTCTCAAAACTCTTTAATTTAGATTTTAGAAAAACTATTTCCTTGTAAAAGTTTTCAAGCCCTCGGTTTGAGTTCAGACACCCCAAGGGTGTGTCCGAATCCCTCAAACCAAGGCTCTGATACCAACTGTAACATCCCAAATTTCGAGTCCAAAAATTTCGTTTGTAATTAAGTAAATTATATATCCGTTTACTAAAAGCATTTTCAACAATATATCAACCCATAAAACATCATGAATAAGTCTAAAAATCACAACATCGAACATTAGTATAAATTAGAGTACAATCCCAGAAAACTCAGTGCGGAAATCAAATGTGTGTGTGATGCGTTGCTACGCCACCGACTCCTTCCCCTTGGATGAAGAGGTACCTAAAACCAAAACTGAAACTGTAAGCACAAAGCTTAGTGAGTTCCCCCATCTTACCACATACCATACAATCACAATGCATACATACTGTCGGGCAATTATGCGGTGCCCGACCTACCCATGTCAAGCTATTCTGGGGTGCTGACCTACCCATGTTAAGCCATTATGGGGTGCTGACCTACCCATTGTCAGGCCATTATGGGATGCCGACTACCCTCCGGTCTATCTCAATCGGAAACGGAGACTATTTCACCCCTACCTCTATCATACAATAATAAATATAATCATACGTTCAGGCATATCTGGGGTACTAACCTACCTTTCGGTCCTAACGACCGAGTCATGGAAAAACTATTCTGTGCTACTACCACTAACTCATATAGCGCATCACATAAGCATATCTCATAAGCATACCACATAAGCATATCTCATAAGCATATCACATAATCATACCAAGATAATTATCACAAAGACAATCATCTATCAATTGCTCTTGTTGGTGGGCCGGCATTGTGGCCTTAGACCCACCCCTACTAGACGGTAACCCACCTCGATGTCGTGTAGTGTCTAAATTGTCCTTGGCGTGCAAATCGACTCTCCTTGACTCCTCAATCCCTACATGACAACCCTTCTAAGTTATCAATTTGAATATGCAACCCCAACCAGGGTCAACTTACTTCAGACAAAGTCAACATTGGTCAAAGTCAACATCCAGTTGACCTGACTCACCGAGCTGGTCTACCAACTCATCGAATCCATATCCCACTAACCCAGATAAATCCCCGACTCCACTCGTCGATTCTAGCAAGAACTCGACGGGTTCTCCTTCAATCATACCATCGGGACCATCTTCATCCGACTTGCCGAGTTCATCCTTGAACTCGTCGAGTTCATCTCCCTTATAAGAATGCATCCAGTCTATGACTCATTGAGTCGTAAGAGCAAATCATCGAGTCCATCTTCAAAGATTGGGAGATTTCCTTGGACTTGCCGAGTCTGTTCATACATTCGTTGAGTCTTATGATTTCCAGGTCCAAAACAAGTCCTTAGCAGGCTGAGTGTTCCTTCCACTCAACCAAAACCATTTCCCGAAGATGATTTTGGGGGAAAAAGCTTCCCAATTCGCCAAGTCACTCGCCGAGTCCCTCTTTGTCCAAAACCATACAGTCAATTGTAATGGGTCTTAACGCATCAAAACTATATATATGGCCTCCTAGGGCCCCTTTTTCAAAAATCCATGAAAGGTAATCTACAAGATGCATGGGGTGTTTATGGCAACAAAGTGGGGACCTTTATGCTATAAAGACCCCTAATAGCCCTAGATCTGAAGCACAAACTCACTTCTTATACCCAATCCCGAATATATCCTCACCAGGGCTTAGAAAGATGTAGGAAAAGGTCCAAAATCAAGATCTAGACAATGAATAGACAAGGTTTCAGATTTATACCTCTAATAAGCTGGAAATATGCTCAAAACTCTGGATCTTCTTGTTTCCCCTTGATCTCACAAGCTTCCTTCTTTTCCTCAAGCTTCAAACACACAAAGTAACATAACAAGGCTCAAGAACACACTAAAAACGGCTAGGGTTTCGAGTTAGGGTTTGCTCTGGATAATGGGGGCTGAGTTGAGGGGTTATAATGTGTTTAAATAGGGTGCAAACCCTCAATTTAGGGTTTCACTCAAACAACATCTACTCGCCAAGTAGGTCTCCCGACTCTTCGAGTAGACTACTTAAACTTCCCACGGATCACGACTCTACTCGACGAGTTGGGCCTCCAACTCGTTGAGTCCTAGAGAAAAACATAAGAAATACATGAATTAAAGGCATACCAGGAATCAGGTGTTACAATAACTATGAAATATAGGTTCTTAGAGTTTCTAATGTGAATATTAATGTGTAATTATGCATCTATTAATTGTTGAATAATGACATAAAGTTGTAGATACAAAATTTTTTGTAGAATAATTTAGTACATATATAGTCCAATGATCTAAATAACGTAAGGTGTGACTTAGCGGCAATGTCAAGCCTCAAGCTTTTCTGAGGCCTTGGCAAGCCACGTTGTTTGTAAGGCGTGACTTAAGTCAATAGTTTTGTATATAATTAAAAATTTTATATGTATTTTCAACTATTATTCTATTTTATACACATATATGAGTTAAGGCGGCGTTTTGGTAAAGCTTGGCGACAGACACAAGCGTTGGAGCCATGGAGCGTCATGGCGGAGCCATGACAAGCTTTTTAGAACCTTGATATATACATACCCATGCATATAACGTCGTTTGTCTTTTTGGATCGATCCCGATCGGTTGAACCATGGAACCAATAAAATGACTAGTTCAATAGCCGTCTCACAACATTTATTGGTAGATTGGAAGTATTAAAAATATGGGAAAAAAAAATTTCAAATGACCAAAAAATGAGGTAGGGTTGAAAAATATGACTAAGAAAATCGGATTTTCATAAAATGATCAAGGTTTCCGTAGAGACGGTCTCTGCGGAACAACTTCTCTTCTGAGGAATTAGACACTTGTGCAAAAAAAACAAAAAAACTAACGTTTGACAAGACGGTTCTGTAGAGCAGGTCTCAACGGAAAATGGTACGGCCTCTGAGGAAATGTTAATGTTATGCGAAAATGGTAGGTGAATAAGAATTCTTTACATCTAACATTTCTGCAGAGCAGATCTCTACGGAAATGGTACAGCCTCTGCTGAATTATAATTTCTCTGCGAAAATGGTACGGCCTCTGCGGAATTATAATTTTTTTGCGGAAATGGTATTTTATTTATGTGATTTTACGACTTTACGCCTGTCACGTCACTTACTCATAGAATTTACGCTTCCGCAAAGCATAAACGAATTTCATAGAGTCCGTTTCTTTGGAAACCTCAATCATTTTATAATAATGCGGTTTTTTTATTATATTTTTTTAACCCCACCTCATTTTTTTTTAAATTATAATAAAAATACGATTAATCATACAAGCTGACTGGTTGCATTAGTTTTAAAGAGAAGGGGATAAAACTGAAATTTTAGAAATTTCGCCGGCGAGGAGGCGGCGTTTATATAGATCCTGCTTCAGAACTCATTGCGACGGTGACAATGCCGCCAATGGAAAGGTCAGAAATCGGAACCCTAGAAAAAATTCCGATTTGGCCAACGAACGCCTCAACGGTTAACCGCCGAAGAAGGCCGCTCAGGAGCCGGACTGTCGATACACTTCTTCATATCCTGTCCGTTTGCTATGCCGATTCTTCTCATATCACTCAAAATTCAGGTATATACTTGTATTTGTGTGCGTGAATAGATTCTTTCTGTAACGTCAATGAGCCTTTTTAACATAAATAGTACCAGTCTGGATTTCTAGGGTTTTCTTTTTGTAGAGGTTTAGTGGAGGGTTTAAGCCAGTGGCGACCATTAAGTGTAACTGTAATTGCAAATAGGTGTAGTGTACAAGAGGCTGTGCCAAATGCCAATGACCTTCTTTTCATGGAAATTATCTTCAATTTCATGATCATTGGGATGCCGGAGCTAGGGAGGGTTAGCAGGTTGCGCCCCCTCTGGTATTTCGCCCCCAAAATGATTTATGATCAATTTGTTGAAGTTTTCCTGATGGGGGAATGTACCCCTGTTACTGATCATATGTAATTGATGTGGAATAAAGCAAATGGAGATACTTTGAGTCAAAATTACATTGCTTCTAGGATTTCAATTGGCCCATAGAAAGAATCTTTAAATCTACCTGTCTGAAAAGAATCTTGGATTCATTGGTGATAATCATATGTAATTTGATCATGTGCCTAGGGTGGATTGCATACATTGAAAAACTTTTGCACTGTTTTGTAGTGTCTAAAATAAATCAAAAACCAGAAATTTGTAAAACTTAGTCAAAAATCTTAAATTTGTCATTGAAGTGCAATGGTTAATGAAAGCTAATCTCTTGTCATTCTGACCTAATTTTTTTCATGTAGATAAGGATGACACTCATGTAGGATCAATCATAATAGATGATCTTCCCTCCACTTGCACCAATATCAAATCTACTGATTCAGAACATCAAGAAGAAACAAATGTAGATGAAACCAGAGTGATTTTAGGTACCCAAGAAGAAAGTTTATGTAATACTAATTTACACGTGGAACCCATTGAACAAGATCATAACATATCAGAAGAAAGTTTGGATCTTTCTTCTCCTCATTTAGACACAAATAAAGATGTTGAAGAAGGAGAAATTTCAGGAGAGTTTACAAATTTGGTCCCTGAAGATGATGATGTGGAATCTATGGACAAAACAGGGTCAGAAGAACATGAAGATTTCACTGGTATCAATTCAGGATTTGAGAAAAATAACAGTTTGACTTTGACCAAAAGAAATTTGGTGGATTATTCTGAAATAGCTCTTCATGGAAAATCCACAGTGTCTGCAAATAACTTAATAAACAATGCAACCAAGAATCAAGATTTTGGATTCCCAATTAAGGTTTGGGTTTGTTTAATGGTTTTACTTTATTTTCTTTTCTTTTTACTCAAGAACAAACAGAAAAGTTATTATCATTTTTTTTTGTCCAATGTATGACAGGACAATGGTGCCCAAAATAATAAAAAGAGACAGAGATCTTGCAATGATGAAAAAAGAACAAACAAAAAGGCAAAAAAGTCTGTTGACCAGTCAACATGTCCGGAAGGTTTAACAAAAACTGGTGAAAACCCTGAGGATGCTTCTTCAAACAAGGTACTAACTTTCTTAAAAAAAGACTTTCTTTCAAAAATATCATCTTTTCAGTTCTCATAAGTTCTTGAATCATCACATATCGTTTTTTTATAACAGGATGCTGATACTAAGAAGAAAGAGAAACGGGTTTTAACTGCAGAAAGAAAAGCAAAGAAAAAGGTTAACCTTTTATTTACTTTGATGATATTTATTAAAATACCATTTACAGTTTACAAATGATCTTTCATCATAAATTCACAATCATGTTTTTCAGCGAAAAGAAAAAATCAAACGTGCAGAAAAGAACAGGAAGCTTGGTGTCAAAAGGCTGAAACTTCAACCAATGATAAAACAGAAGAAAATTATATATTGTCGTCATTACATAAATGGAAGATGCCATGAGGTATATAATCTTTTACTTTCATTTCACTTTTACAATCTAAACTTATTATTCCTACATCCAACACAATATTTTCATATCCTTTGATTTATGACAGGGTGAGAATTGTAAATTCTCTCACGATACAACCCCCTTAACAAAATCCAAGGTACTAGATTTTATATTTTATATTTTATATATTATAATAAACCAATCATAATATTGTTAAACTTATAGATGAATGTGATTATTTATTTTTTTAAAATGTTGCAGCCATGTTGTCATTTTGCACGCCATTCTTGTATGAAAGGTGATGAGTGTCCATTTGATCATCAACTTTCAAAGTATCCCTGCAATAACTATCTTTCAAAAGGCTTTTGCCCACGTGGTTCAGACTGTATGTTCTCTCATGAGGTATTATTTTATTTTTTTATTATTATTTTCTTTTTCCATTTTCTTTTTCTTCGTATAAAATAAATCAACAAAATCCTTCTACTTTTGTGTTAACTAGGCACAACCAAGTGAAGCCTCCTTAAACCCCTTAAACGAGTCAACTTCTGTTCAAGTTCAACCACCAAAAGGTGTAACTTTTATTTCACGTGAAAAAATCGACACAAAACCAAAATCGTCTCCTCAACCACCGAAAGGTATAAGTTTTTTATCGCAAGAAAAGTTACCGGTAGAAGCCCAATCGTCTCCTAAGGTAAATTCCGAACGTGAAATGACCAAAACGCCCCCGGAAGTTCCCCGGGGGATAAACTTTTTGTCGTTTGGTAAAAAGCATTCCGACGGTGGGTTTGGGTTTACTTTCAAGATTGGGAAGTCTCCGTTGAGCAAGGCGGAGGGTATAATCGTAAATGTGGATGATGGGGTTAAGGTTGTCAAACAAATTGACAACAATGAGAAGATAAGGACAAATTCAGAGTCTAAACCAATGCATGTGCTGCCATTTTTGTCGAGTGCTTCGCGGAGAACACTCGAGTCAACTTTAGCTTTTGCGGCTAAGTTTGACTCCGGTGTAAAGGGAATATGAGAAGTTTTGATTATGGGCGTTATGGTAATTTCCACCGTGTTGTTGTTGAGAGAGATCATTGTATTTGTTATCTTCACCTCGAAACTCGGTTCGGGTTTCTAATATGGTGTTGTGTAAATAGAGTGGCTGTTGAGTGATTTTGGTTCATATATACAACAAATGTAAGTAACATACTAACATATCATGTTTTATTTCAAAAGATTTGGTCTTGGTTTGCAAATCGATCCAACATTTGATGTTTCATTCTTTAAACAAAACAATTTAATTGAAATTGATTTTCGTTTTGTCCAGGAAAAGGTATCCGAAAGGCGAAATGTAGTTTTAATTTATATCTTCAGATATTTGTATCTTTGGTCCAAGCTTCACGTAGCTTGAGGGAGCATATTGAACTAAATGTAAATCTTAGTGGTTGTAATTTAGTTATGTCTCATAGGCCAGGGGTCCTTATGTAACTTTATGTCCATATAGCCTTATCATTGATGAATTATTGTGATATTAACCTCCAATTGAAGATTAATGTTATTAAAATAACCATATTGAGAGCTTTCATATTATTAAACACCACAATTTTTCGAAATTCAATAAAATAAGAGTAAATTACTGAAATCGTCAATGTGGTTTGGTCAAAATTGCACCTTTGGTCCCTAACTTTTTTTTGCACTCGGGTTGTCCCCGTGGTTTGGTTTTATTGCGTTTTTCGTTCCTATGGTTTGGTAAAAAATGCATGTTTGGTCCCTAACTTTATGTATGTAAGGGACGAAAAATGTAACAAAAGCAAACCATAGGGACAAAAAACGCAACAAAATCAAACTACATGGACGATTCGAGTGCAAAAAAAAAAAGTTAGGGACCAAACATATAATTTTAACCAAACCATAGGGATGATTTCAATAATGAAGAGTAAAAAAACCCCTACCCTCATCTTCTTCAAAAGAAGATGATCAACAATAGCTTTCTTATACTCCTTCCTTACTCTCGTGGAGATGCTTCTTGTATCTGTCCTTGAATGATGACTACTGGAATAAAACACGACCATTTAATATCAAGATTTGATCATCGTGATTTCCAGAAACTAATGGTTAGCAGATACCGATATGGTATGATGTGAAATTGATAGCGGTGGCGTGGCTGGTGTTGCCACAGTTCAGAGGAGTTGCTTTCATCTACAATAAATTTGTGAAGGAGAAGGTGATTAAGAGATACTACCCTAGGATTGGAGGAGGAGAGCACAAATCATCGTCGTCATCCCCAAACGGAAAGAAGAAGAACAAGCCTGCTGATCTTATGACCACTAAGAAATCCAGTTGATTGGGTTAGGTTGTCGGTGTATTATTGTGAAGAACTGACTGTGCTTACTATGTTTTCATTGTTTGTTTTTCGATTTGGGGGGATGAACTCGTATACACAAATCGATTTCCAGAATCGATTCTTTTTTTTTTTTTTTTTGTTTCAGAAATGATTTGAAGAACAAATGATTCATATCGATATTGTTCCACCTGTTACTTGTGATTTCATCGTCCTTGACCCAATCACGAGCGCCACCTGCACTCTGTGATTCCCCCCCCCCCCCACCCACCCACCGCTGCTGGCAATTCGTAGCCACCACTGAACGCCTTCGTTCTCCCCTCATCGATGCCGATCGAAGATCCAAAACCGTGAAATTTGTAGTGGAGATTCTCGGGGAGGAGATTCGAGTTGTGGAGGTGAATGATGGGGGAGATATTGAGAGAAGAGAACACACCACATACATCTTTATCCACATCGATTGAAGGAGGAAGAGAGCTTGGTATCGAATCCCGATCGTACCCCGATAAAACACCGGAATCGGTGAGAACCCCCGATGAAAATGATGGAAAAGTACCTTCGTTCTTGAGGAAGAACACAAAAAGGAATAGTTACTCCTTATTTCATGGTTTTTTCATAAACAACACACACTCCATTTGGATTTGTTCCTAAGGAAGAAGACGATCAGATCAGAGAGAGAGAGAGAGAGAGAGAGAGAGAGAGAGAGAGAGAGAGAGAGAGAGAGAGAGAGAGAGAGAGAGAGAGAGAGGGTGGGTGGGGCCCAATGTTTATTAATAATAAAACATTAAATTAAATAGAAAAAATATAAAAAAAATATAAAAGAATGGCATTTTAGTCTTTTTAGTTTTTTAAGGGACCAAAACCACAGTCAAACTAGGCCAAAAGGACTACCAATCCAAAAAAGTTGTGGTTTGGACTAAAACTCTAAAAAAAATACATACTACAGGAACCATTTTTGCAATTTTGTCGAAAGAAAATAAGCAACTTATTGTTACCTCCGAATGTGAATGACGAAAATCCCTCCTAAGAAACACCTTAACCACTAACCAACATTAAGATTTAATCCATTGCAAAAAATAGCCACATGTACAATATTGTAGTAGATGATTCCACTGGAGAATATATGTTTCTAGAACGGCTAACAGACACACATCCCTTCTAAATTAATCATAAATCATATATTTTTGTCCACCACGAGACTTAAACCCTTAATCCTTTGGGGAAATTCAAAATAATATCAAATAAACTAAAAAAAAAAAAAATCAACAACCATTTCTTAAAAAAAAAGCTGAAAATGTTTAAAATTTTAAATGTAAGACATAAATCTATGTCAAATTAATTAATAATATTAAAAAAAAAATATATTTTTTATAACAACCAAAACTCTTTAAAATAAGTGGTTTTTAAATTAACTAACAAAAATAATAGCTAAAAGTAACATAAATTCATATATATATATATATATATATATATATGGGGATAAGGAATATACATTACAGCCCCACCTAAGCTTAGGTACTAAACCTCTAAAATATATCATTTTATCATGTTAAATATACCCGGTTTGGTTTCACTTGGTAAATATATGATCCTCCATAACATTTCTTTTTTTCATTATCATTTTACCATCTCTGTTTTCTTTCTTCAATTATCGTTTTTTACTTCACCCAAGTGAACATTACTAAACCCTAAACATAAACCTTAAACCCTAAATTTAAACCCTAAACCCTAAACCTAAAATCTAAACCCTAAACACGAAACTCTAACCCTAAACCCTAACCCTAAACCCTAAACCCTAAACCCTAAACACTAAACCTAAACCTAAACCCTAAACCCTAAACCCTAAACCCTAAACCCTAAACCTTACTGTGTCGATCTTGAATTTACATCTTGAAATATTAATCGTGAATCCATTAACCGTAATCTTTATATAGTAAAACAAATTATTTTCAAGAGGTTTAGTACTTAAGCTTAGGTGGGGCTGTAATGTATATTCCTTTTTCCCTATATATATATATATATATATATATATATATATATATATATATATATATATATATATATATATATATATATATATATATATATATATATATATATATATATATATATATATATATATATGGGAAAAGTGAATATACCATTATGGGTATATAAGCTTAGGTACCCAAACTCATAATAATACGTTATTTTGTTTGATATATTTATTATAATATTGTTAAACTTCAATCCTTAACTTGATTTATATTCAATATTTTTAAATTTTCACTATTACCTGTTTTTTACCTCACATCTTTTTGTCGAACACTTTAAGCTATATATTTTATTGTTGAAAATGACAATTATGTAAGAGGAAGATAAATATGAAATTTATAAAAATCTTTGAAGTAATTCAATTTAAAAGTTGAATTATAAAAACATTGGACAATTACAATGTCTATATATGATACAAAACGATGTAGTATGATGAGGGTTTCGGGTTTAGGGTTTAGGGTTAGGGTTTAGGGTTTAGATTTAGGTTTAAGGTTTAGGGTTCTCGCAAATGTGTAGTGGGGTTCTACATGGCAATGGAGCTACATATGTTTTTATCGCGAGTTCTTAAATACCTTGTAGCGTGGTTGGTGGTTAATTTGTTACAATCTAAAAATGTGGTTCGGAGTAAATAATTAAATATACTTCCTGATAATTTTATGAATAACTTTATTTTATAAGATGCCACCATATGTTGGCAAATTTTACTTGATGTCCAAAAACAGGCAGATTTGACTTAAGTGTAAAGTTATTAACAATAGTTTTTTATTGTAACAAACGCAAACCCAAGTTTTGTCCTGTCAATTAGCGATAGAGTTGCAAGTTGTGACTTGTGCTGTGATAAATAAATTTGTTGGCATTTCAGATCAATCATTATGCAGTGAGTGGTGACTGCAGCTTGTACTACAACTAAACTTACGTACAACTGCAGAGTTTGCAAGATACGCTTTTAAGTGAATGATTCTGTACAATAAATTTTATATGGGAAAAATAGTTAATAGTGAAAAGAGGCTATTTAGAAAGAGAAAATTCTGAGATATAACCAAAAAAAGGGTTAGTTTAAAAAAAATAACCAAGAAAAAAAGGATTTCGAAAAATGACCACAGGATCCGCAGAGCACCCTCTACGGATCTCTCTATAGCTTTGCGGATCCATCTACAGCTCTGCGGAATGTGAATTTTTTAATTTTTTAATTTTTTTTCGTTTTTTCGTTAATTTTTAATCTTTTATAAATACACTAATATCTTATTTGATTATTATGTAAAAAATTTGACAAAAAATGTTAAAAATAATGAAATGTCCAAATGATCCGCAGAGCATCCTCTGTGAATCCATTAAAGGCTCTGCGGATCCTCTACAACTCTGTGAAATCTTTGTTTTTTGATTTTTTTTTCGTTTTTTTGCATCCATTTTTGTTTCTTAATATTAATTTTTTTTAAATACACTAATATCTTATGTGATTATGTAAAAAATTTGACTAAAAATGTTAAAAATAATGAATTGATCCGTAGAGGTGTACACTGATCCGCAGAGGTATACACTGATCCGCTGGTAACAGTTCCGTGGATTCTCAAACAGTTATGTGGACTGATATTAAATATAAGTTTATTATTTTTAACATTTTTTTGTCAAAAAATTTACATAATCACATAAGATATTAGTATATTTTAATAAAATTAATATTAATAAACGACAATGAATGAAAAAAAAATTAAAAAAAATTAAAAAAATCAAAAAACAAAGATTTCGTAGAGCTGTAGGAGATCCGCAGAGTCTTTAATAGATATGCAGAGTGCTCTGTGGATCCTAAGTTCATTATTTTTAACATTTTTTTATCAATTTTTTTTTACATAATCATATAATGTATTATTGTATTTTAAAAAATTAATATTAATAAACGAAAATGAACGCAAAAAAAGAAAAAAAACGAAAAAAAATTAAAAAAAATCAAAGAACAAAAATTCTGCAGAGCTGTAAAAGATCTGCAGAGGCTTTAATAGATCCGTAGAGGATGCTTTGTGGATCCTTTAGATATTTCATTATTTTTAACAATTTTATTGTCTAATTTTTTACATAATAATCATATAAAGTATTAGTGTATTAAAAAAATACAAAATTAATATTAATAAACGAAATTGAACGCAATATATATATATATATATATATATATATATATATATATATATATATATATATATATAATTAAA